AGACCTCCACTCCGCTGGCTGGGTTTGGGTCTCCAGGGGCACAGCCCAGCTGCCTTCCCCGCCTCTGAACCCTGGGGCTGCTGCCATCGTAAAAACCCAGCCCCAGGCCGGCGTCACCAGGTGGCTTCTACTCCTGCCTCACCTCCTACCGTCTCCTGCTCCTCCCCAGCCGGGAGCACCGTGGCACCGTCGGTGTCACCTCCTTCGCTCCCTCACCGACCACACTGAAGGAGCCCTCGGCCCACTCACTCTCTTAGATTTGTTTTCCTGTGCTGGAAATTGGACTGGGGCCTTGCGGATGCCAGGTAAGCGCCCCGCCCCTGAGCCACCCTCTCTTCCCACACGGCTGGCATATTTTTGGTGTTGTTTTGAGACAGGGTCTTGTTATACAGTCTGGGCTGGCCTTGGACTCACTGAGAAACCCAAGCTGGCCTTGAACTATCAGTAATCCTCCTGCTTCAGCCTCCAGGGTGCTGGGATACAGGTGTGCACCACCATGCCGGTTGACAACTTTTAATTTCTTATCACACTCTGCATGGTGCTTGTCACTGTTGACTTTCTTAGTTTCTGGCTTCGTCACTGACTAAGGAAATACATATGGTATGAGGGCAGGGACCTGCCACGTGCCCTGCTCGGCACAGAACCCAGCCCTGCCTGGGAAGCACCTTTCCCTGCCGCACTCACCTTCTCCGACCCATGCAAGAAGTCGTTGAGGGCCTGAGGGTCACTGAAAGAGAAGAGAGAGGGACACTGAGGCGGTGAGCTGGGAAGGGAAGAGGGAAGGAGTCTGAGATAGAGGTGGGGAGCCCATTACTCACCAGATCACGTCTAGTAAGCATCTCCCATCCTCATCATCCATCGCCACTGATGGGTGGGGTCGGGAAGAGGGCGAGGGAGACAAGGTTAGATCGTGGCAGTGCGCCCGGCCACCCTGCGGGGAGCCCCGGAAGTGGTGGGCTTCCCTTCCCTTGAGTCCACCAGAGTCTCCTGACCAGACGGCTTCCAGCCCCTGACGAGGATGGTGTGCAGCCCAGGCAGGAGGGCCTCGGGCACACAGGGCCACCGGGCTCTGCAGGTGAGGAGCAGGAGGCACTGACCGGTCGCTCTCCATCTTCTGGCGAGCAGACGGCCTGGAACCCATGCTCCTCACGGGCAGGGCCTGGCCAACAGAAAGGACCAAGGGTGCAAGGCCCCGGGTCCCCCTGAAGCCCTGGGCAGTGTGGCTCTCAAGGAATGGAGAGGTCACCAGGAGACCTTCCCAAGGCAGAAGCGAGGGAGGGTCCCCAGGGGTGGGTGCCGCCAGAATGATGAGGAGGAGGAGGGCTAACGTTTGCTGCGTGCCTGCCCTAGCCGGGCACGGTTGAGCACGTCACAAATGTTAGCATGTTCGATCCTGGGGAGGGATACGTTCGCCCCGTTTTGTGCCCGAGGTGACTGGTGCTGCCTGGGTCTGTCCCTCGGCCCCCACCCACCTCCCAACTGCCCCAGGCGGTGCCTGGCCTCTGGGACACCCTGCTCCCTCCACCCTTCCAAGCTTCCCTCTACCTGTGTCCTTCCTCCCTGGGGCTGCGCAGGGAGCAGAGACATCTGAGAGGCTGCGCACCTACAGTCCTGACCGTCGGGCGGGGCACCTCTCACACAGGCACACAGCTCTGTGGGGTCCCCTCACCCAGAAGTCACGGGGACTGCACCACCTGCCTCGGGGCCTCAGGCACCATGTATAAGGCGGACACTCAGGCTAGGCCCCGAGGAGAACACAGGGCTTCTCCCCCTGCCCCAGAGCTGATGAAATCCAGTGACCCAGCTCAGACACCTACACAGGAAGTGCCACACACACGCCCAGCCCCCACTCGCCCCTCCCACCACAGTGCACAGACGGACACCGGTGCAGGTGACCGCCCGCTCCGCCTGCTTCTCTCTGTGTCACCAGATTTGTGGCTAATGAGACCCTCGTTTGATAACCTGCCTGAAGAGACCCTGGAGAGGCACAGTAGGCCGAGGGTCTGGAGGAGAGGGCTTGGGGCCAGGCCTTCTCCCCTGTGCTCCACAGTGGGCCCAGGAAGTGCATATGGAGGGGCAGTGGCCCCAGGACGGGGCGGGAACTCCCTCCCGGTTACCTGCGCTACAAACGAATCATGAAGGGAAGGAGGGGGCGTCCACTCCAGGTCTACACGGGGCCCCCGGCTGGGGACTTGGAGAACGTCCTCTTGGGGGCCAGCTGCGGGGAGAGAACGAGAGGCTGAGTGAGCGGGAAAGACTTAGGACGCGCTGTGACGGAGGGAGGGACGGACGGACAGACGAGCGGAGAGCAGGGCATGGGCCAGGGCTGTGGGCGGAGGCAGACTGCAGCTGGAGAGGGTGGGGGAGCGGGAAAGAGGGGAAGCAGAGGACAGGTTCAAGTTCAAAGCCACACAGAGCAGCACTCCACCATCGCGAGGTGCACGGTGTGGACGCACACGCGACGCCATAGCCCAGTGGCAGTCCTGGCGCTGTGGCTCAAGTATGCGAGCCAGGCCGAGGGACTGAGAGTTGCCGCCAGCACAGAACGAGCAAACGTGGAGCGGGGAGCTGCGGGGCCTGGTCTGGGGAGCCCCGCCCGAAACACTCATCCTCCGCCTCTGGGCGTTTCTGTTTAAAGACCCCTCCCTCAGCACACACGCAGGGAGACGGAACAGATCGCTGCTGACGGTTTACATTTTTTGAAAATGTACTATAGCAGAAGATACATGGGGCTGGGGATGTAGCTCAGTGGTTCCGCCGTCTACCTCACAAGCGCAAGGTCCTGAGTTCGATCCGCGGTACCAACACAAAAGAAAAGGAAGCTACACTGCCGTTAACCCCCGTCTGGAACGCACCGATCCCTCGTTCCTGACACTGTTGTACAGCGCTTCAGAGCCTCTACTGTGTCTTTACCAAGCGTGGGCACAAGGGCGGTGGCAGCCGCCGAGGACCACGCAGCAGAAAGGCAGGCGATGAAGACACGAGGTGTGTTGTGTCCTCACCTACCTCCCGCTCCCCAGCTGCCGCCATGTGACTTCCGGCTCTTCCCCAAAGTCAAAGGACGTGAATGGGAAACGTTCTGAATTGATCAGGGCAAGGAGGCAGCCAGGACAGCGCAATTCAGGATACTCGGGAAAGAGACTCCAGGACTGCCGCAGAAAGTGGCAAGAACGGCGGGACGTGTTTGAAGCAAGGGGAATCTTCAGAAATGGGGTTAATGGTGATGTGTCTTTTACTGTAATCAATTAAAAACAACAGCCATTCGCTGTGGTTTTCGCTCATACCTCACACAGTTGATTTGCTCACACTGAGCTCACAGCTCATCGTCACTGGCCTGAGGCATCACAGGCACCAAAAGCACCTCTGTGCTGTGTGTGTGGACACCTCAAACAGTGAAGCCACCCACACATGGGAAACAGGTTATGCAGGGGACACGCGCCAAATGAGAGGGCAGTGTCAGGTGACTCAGATTTTTTCCACTATTCTTCATCTGTTTGCAAATGACCACGAAGGCCATTTTATGGAGCAGGTGAATCTGCACACCCGGAATCTGAGGGAGGTGACAGTAAACCACGCTGACCGCTGACCCACTGCCCACTGGGCACTTCTTACTCCAGAAGCCTCCACCAGGCAGAGGCCTCTATGGTCGCACTCTGTACTTAAGGAAACTGAGGCACAGGGTGGGGGCTGTAAAGTGTCCCGGATCCTGCAGCCTCACCCTGAGCCATGACCCACAGCCCCTGTCCTTCTCCGTCCTTTGGAGCCGTGCAAATACAGCAGGAACGCTAGGATGGCGTCACCAGGCAGGGTGCCGGTCTGCACCACCTCACCGATGCCCGGGATGTTTCAAGGCTGAGGAAGTGAGAGATGGAGCCTGGAGGAAGAGCAGGCCAACAGGAGCTCTGAGCGGCTTCCCCTCTTCCGGAGGACAGTCCAGAGAGCAGCTGTCCTGAGACCCGGCGTGCAGACCCGCCCCACCTTGTCAGGGTTTCAGTTATTTCGGTTTCTTTTTCTTATTGTTGTTCATTTTGTTTTCAGACAGGGTCTTGCTATGTAGTCTGGGTTGGGCTCCAATTCTTGGTGATCTTCCTGCTTCAGCCTCCTGAGTGCTGGGCTTACAGGCCTGCACCACCACCCCTGGCTTGGTTCGTCCAGGCTGGCCTCAAACTTGCAATCTTCCTGCCTTGCCCTCAAGAGAGATGGAATTGCCAGCAGGATTATGGGCATGCACCGGTGCACTTGGTTTTTGTACCAGTTTTTATTTGTGTTTATGTTTCAACGGTAATTTTTTTTTTTTTTTTTTTATTTTGAGACAAATAATAAAATAGGGTGGAATGAAGAAAATGATAATCAATCAGCAATATGTTGGTTTCTCCTTTAGTAGCTTGCTACTTGGATTGTTTTAAAATAATTATTCATAATTATATACTGTAAACTAAGTTAGAAAAATTCAGTGAGAGGTTTCTGTAAACCTTACTTCCATTTTGCCTGACCCCATCATTGTAATGGTTTTATAGTGATGAATATTGAATCACTTTAGTGTGACATTCTGAAAATTATCCTCTATTCACTGTACTTAGACCTAGGGCTAGATGGAATATTACTTATCTTAATGTTTCTGGCATTGGTCTGTCTACACAAATAAATTTAAGAAAACCTAAAAATTATTTCCCCTTTTAAGACTTGAGTTTTCTAACCAATTAGCTCAAGCTTATAAATCATTGGGAATCTGTGAGGTTTCTTTATAAGGCACACAATATTATGTTCTCTCCAAGTTGTGCCTCTAAGGCAAACTTTTGGAGTAGAATAAAATATCTCACAGCGTGAGGGGCAAGTAGAGAGATACAGATAAACCCAGCAGCTATGCAAAGAGACCTTCAAGCCCCCCTTGGATACCAGATGAGACTAAGGAATGAGGCTTAGAGTCTGGGTTCCCCAACAGCATCATGTTGTTTTTTCTTAAACAATCTTCCCTTTAAGGGATACATCACAGCTGAGTGTGGTGACACTGTAATTCTACACTCTGGGAGGCTGAGGCAGGATGATCTGGAGTTTGAGGGTAGCCTTTGAAAGACCTGACTCAAAAAGGGGAGGAGTAGAGCAGGGGGGTTTTTATTCCAATACCAAGCCATCCCCAAATAGAAACAGGACTGAATGGCCCTGTCTGCAGTTTACTGTGGGTGCTGGCGTACACAGACCTGGGGGACCCTACACGGCTGCCAGGTGCCAAGCGTGGCTCTGTCCTTTTAAGTTCAAATTCATCAAATGAAAAAAATAAGGGCAAAAGACATGAATAGGTATTTCTCCAAAGAAAATCTACAAGTGGCCAGTACACAGGTGCTCGGCACGAGTAAGTGCCAGAGAAAATCAGTGCAAGTCACAGTGCGAGTGCCTCCCGCCTCAGTGAGGATGCTGCAGAGGAAGGAGGTGCACTGGCCGGGACTGGGGGGAATGCAGAGAGCACGGCCGCCCTGAGAAACGGTTTAGCGGGGCCCCAAACATTAGAACTAGCATGAGAACGTGATCCGGCCGCTCCACCGCGAGGGCACCCAGGAGAAGAAAGCAAGCTAAGGAGAGGTCTGCACTGCCGGGGTCAGGGGGGCAGCCAGAGTCTTGCAGCTTAGAGCCCAAGAACAGATTCCCAAAATCTGTTCCCTTCAAGAAGGGGATTCCATGCTGGGGGTGGTGGCGCACACCCGTAATCTCAGCGCTCAGGTAGGCTGAGGCAGGAGGATCACTGCAAGTTTGAGGCCAGCCTGGAATACAAAAGCAAGACCCCCTCTGAGAAAAACAAATACACAAACAAAAAAGGGAATCCTGACAAACACACTCCACACCAAGCCAAGTGAGACAGCCAGTCACACAGATGGGTCCTCAGGAGGCTCCGGGGCGGCCCATCCACACGCAGAGCAGGGAGGGGCCAGGCCGGGAACCCTGCTCAATGGGCAGAGCTTTAGACTGGATGGCAGTGAGGGGCACGGCACGGATTCCTCAGCACCCGGAAATGCACGCGTCACACAGGTCGGCTTGGCTGCACCCTTCCTCAAAATAAAACATGTAGAGGGCTAGGGACGCAGCTCAGAGGGAGGCCCGGGCAGAAGCCCAGCCCCCATACAAACAGATAGATATGGGTTAGCTGGCAACACAACACTTTATGTCATGTCTTCCAATATAAAACCAGTAGAGAGGCAATTAGGGACCTCAAAGTTTTAAACAAAACAGATGTAGGGCTGGGGATTTAGCTCAGTCGAGCCACACCTGCCTCCTAAGTGCGAGGTCCTGAGTTCAATCCCCAGTGCCAGGGAAACAAATAAAATAAAACATAAAATCAAGTGCAATGAAGCACTGAGTTCTCAGTCACACTGGCTGCAAGTGTGCAGGACACCTGTGACTGGAGGGGACGGGAGGAGAGGGACAGGATGGCCGAGCCAGAGGCCCAGGCCCAGAGAGAACAGCCCCAGGTGCGTGTGTGTTGTAGGGGACGGGGACAGGGTGCGTCTGCCTCTTAGTCTTCCCTCTACTCTGAGTACCTGAAATGTGATGGGGGTGTTCTGGGGCAGGAACTGGGATCTTGGTACTGAGCCACATCATCCCCAACCCTGTTTTTATTTATGTATGTATTTATTTTTGAGACAGGGTCTCACTATGTAGTTGAGACTGACCTGGAACTTACTAGGTAGCCTAGGCTGGTCTCGAACTCAGCAAACCTCCTGCCTCAGCCTCCCGAGTGCTGGGATTACAGGCCTGTACCCTGTCTTGTTTTATTTTGACTTTATTTATTTATTTATTTATTTGGTACTGGGGTCCTGGCACTTTTGAGGCTAGAAGCGGCACCAGTGAGCTAAATCCCTGGTCCTCTTGTTTTATTTTGAGTTGCACTAAGTTGCTAAGTTGCCCAAGCTAGGCTTAAAATTGTGATCCTCCTGCCTCAGCCTCTCAAACTGCTGGGCTCACAGGTCTGTGCCACCACACCCAGCTGAAAGTTTTGTAATTCAAAACCTACTTTAATATCAAACATGCCTCCACATGTTTAAATACCGCACTGTTTCTCTGGTATGAGAAACCGAAAGTAGAAATAAGGACTGAGATGTATAATGGCTGTTGGGAAAGGGGAAGGAAGTGTTCAAACGGGAAGGGGAACAAGGAAGGAGGAGGGAGGAGAAGAAAAGCGAAAATAGAAGGAAAAATGGAAACACAGCTTTGGTACATAGCGAGAGA